AAAGACGACCTGATGCCTTCCCATAAACCACAGGCAAGTCCCGTACCAGTAAAGGCAGTTCTAAAGTTGATTTGCCTGCTCCACCTTTATCTTGTTCTGTGTTCTTCACGTGGAGGGAGAAAATGGAAGTCCTAATCTCTGGCCAAACCTAAGCATCATCCTGACAGCCCGCTGAAAGGTTACCGTTTCTGGGGAGGTTCCTTGGAGTACAGGCCTTCCGGAGCCTAGTTCTCCTTCACTCATCAACGCCCCCTGGCCCCTACCCCTCCCTACATCCCTTCCTACCTGACTGGGAGATGATAGCAAGTCGAGAAGTATAGGTGGGGATGAAGCGCAAGAAGGCAGGATCCACATGTACTTGAAGGGGTGTGATGGCGCGCATCATGCGCAGATCATACACCTTGAGGAAACGGTCACAGGCCAGGCCGGTGAGGCGGCTGGAGAAGCCGCAGGCCGCCAGCAGGTTGCCATGCACATCAAAATCTGACAGACTCCCTGAGAAAGCATCGAACTCATGCTCCACCTTAAAAGTACGGAGGTCTCGCAGGGAAACCTGAAGAAGAGAGGACTTGGTTATCCTCCGACACTGGCATCATGAAAGGTACCTGCCACCTACCTCACCCTGTGAGGCCCTCGCCCAAAGAACTAAGGCTCTAGGATATGGGCAATCAAAGCACAGGAAAGGCAGTGAGAGAAGCCAGGAGCTGGAAGGGACCCCCAAGAGAACTCTTGTTTATTCTTGTGCCTTGAAGGTATCTAGTTACAATAGAAACCATCAGGCTGAAAGATAATCTAGTACATTGTGGCTGAGGAGGAACTCCGTTCATTCCTCCAGTCCCCCCCCCGACAACCCCACCCCAACTATAGCCCCAGCTTTGAGGGAAAGGAAGAGGTCAAGCACATGTCTGATGAAACAGGGCCTTGTGGTAGGAGGAAACACAGAACCGAGTCACCTTGCCAGACGTGTGGCCACAGAAGAAGAAACGATTTGTCTGTCTCATAATAGTGACTCCAGGCGTCTCAACCGCATACTGGGGAGGAAAGCAGGAAAAACCATTGAGAATAATTCTTCCCACAGACCAAAGGAACAGAAAGGTCGCACATACACTTAGTCATGTTCCCAGCTCAGGCGTATCCCCAGCCTCCCAAAGTCTCAGACCCTGCCTGAGATCCTGCCCTCAGATCCTGCCCCAGGCTTGTACCTTCTGAGTCTCCTGGACAGTGTTAAGGTCAATCTCCAGTATGTGGTTCTGCAGCCCACCGACAAGCAGAGTGCTGCTGTCAGTCAGCAGAAGACTGTGCATATCCTCACTCTCATCTAGCCTGTGGCAGAGAGAAAAGGCTAAGGGACCAGGCCCTTGAAAGCTTCCAATCCTTTAGCCTTCCGGTTCTAGGAGGGACCCTCTTTCCCAGTCCAGAGCTGAGAAGCCACTTACACGTAATCAAATATAATGAGGCCCCCACGGGCCATATACTTGAGGTTGTTCTTGGTGAGAAAAAGGATACCATTTTCTAGGCTCTGGATCTGTCGAATGTCATCACTGCCATTGACCTGAAACGATGAGTAACGCTCCAAGGCTGGGCCGAAAAATGAAGTAGCATGGCCCTGTTGGGGGAAAAAAGATGAGACACACCCTGAATGGATGGGCAGGGCCATCCCAGATATAGGTCAGGAACTGGACAGTAGTCGTTCAGCTTTCTTCCATTCTTGCTTGGCCTTTCTGGTTAGCAGCCCCCAAGGCATAAGCCTGGGGACCAATCTAAGTGATAAAGACATTGATGATACTATCTATGTTTGTTTAATGCTTTACAAAGTACTTTTGTAAACTCTACCTCCTTTTATCCTCACAGTGACCCTGCTGAATAGGTAATGGCTCAGTTGGTTAGAACAGTTTCAGGTCAAGCACGTGGGTCCGTCTGATTCTCCACTGGCTTTCTGACATTCCAGAGTCAAGTCTTAATCTCTACCAGCCATCTGGGAAATGTGTACTATGGGTCACAGGCTGGAAGATAGAGAATGTGAAACTCATTCCATGCTTAGCTCCTATGACATCATTCACTACTGGTTTCTCTCCTGACTCTTAACTCATACCTTCTCCTTATGTGCTTCCCTTCAGACCACTCTTGAAACATGGCTATTCCCAGTCCACTATTTTCTCATTAGTCCTCCTACGTAATCTCATCCACTCTCAAGGTTTCCACTCTCCATGTTTTTAAACTGATGGATCCTAACTCCCTTCTCTAGCCTAGACCGCTCCCGCAAGCTTCAGACTTATACATTCAAATACCAACTAAACATCTCTTTTCAGATAATTCCATGAGAACCCTAAACTCATTACATTCCCAGTTAAATTCATTATTTTTATCTCATCTTAATTCTTAACTATATTTCTTATGGTACCATGACCCATGTAATGGACTAAGTCACTGGTAGTCAATTTAAGTCTTGTTTACTTTCTAAATATTTCCCAAATCTGTTCCCATGTACGTATCTCTACAGTGCTTCATTCAGGCCTTCATATTCTATATGAACTGCTACAATAACCTACAACTGATCTCATGGAGTCCTGCCCTGTCCCCCTTAAACCAAAGTCTCTACTTCTAACTTGGCATTCTAAGATACAAACCTAACCTTATCATTCTGGATAAAAAAATCTTCAGTGGTGTGAAGGGTCAAGTCCAAGCTCTCTTAACACAGCATACAAGGTTTTTCTAGAATGCTTTTCCCCCAAATAGCTACATGGCTTCCTCTCTCCCTTCTAGGGGACTTAGAATGGACAGTGTGGCCTATATTCAGGTCCCTATTCAAATGTGGCTTCATCAGAGAGACCTTTCCCTGACCAACTATTAAAACAGTAACACCTCCCACCTTCATTACCTCAACCCCCTTACTCCACTTTATTTTCCTTAGAGATACTAAACAACACTTAATGTATTATAAATGTATTCTTGTTACCTTATTAAAAGTTCATTCTAAACCTAGACCACAGAGCAAGGTCTAGCACTTAGTAGGTGGTCAAAAAACACTAGTTAAATGAAGTCATGTCTATCTCTTCACCTTTCTCTCCCAGTGCGGTAAACCCTCATTGCTTATAGTTCCTGTACTCTGCAATCACATTGTATACTATCTTGGAAATCTTTATCCTGTTGCTTTGGCCAAGACAGCATTTTCCCCTCTTCTTCGCCTGACTCCTACTCACCTCTCAAAAACTCACTTCAGGTGTCATTTCCTTCTGAAGGCCCTCTGACCTTTCTCCATCCAGTACAAATATTTATACTGGCACTTAGTAGTTTATAGCTTTATTTCTTGTATCTTATTTCTTATATTTTAATTAATTCACTAATTAATAAGTGAAATAGTTTAGTTTCTTCTAAAGTATCATGAAGTTATCTGGTTATGTATCCTTTTTTCCTCATTGTTTTATAAATTCCTTGAGGGCAAGGATTATGTTTTAGTCAGCTTTATTCTGTGGGCCTAGCATAGCAGTAAAGACTGCCTACTAAAATGAATGTATTATCAAAAAAGCTCATTCTAGGGGCGCCTGGGTGGCTCAGTGGGATAAGCCTCTGCCTTTGGCTCAGGTCATGATCTCTGGGTCCTGGGATCGAGCCCTGCATGGGGCTCTCTGCTCAGCAGGGAATCTGCTTCCCACCCACCCACCCCCCACCACCTCCCTCTCTGCCTACTTGTGATCTCTCTCTGTGTCAAATAAATAAAATCTTAAAAAAAAAACAAAAACAAAAACTCTTTCTAATGGGAAAAGCAAAATTCATGCTCTAGGGAAGGTAAATTAGTAAACCAAGGATAACATGTTATTTCTTACAAAGTCTTGGGCTCCCTAGCATATTGGCAATATAGATACACATTAAAAAAAAAAAATTAACATTGATAACTGCTCTTGCAGAGACTAAAATCAGCCGGAGAAAACAAAATGATTCCACGTAAGGTAGCAGAAACATGTGTTAAACATTCTATAATTGAAAAAATGGGGGGTGCCTGGGCAGCTCAGTGGGTTAAGTTCCTGCCTTCGACTAAGGTCATGGTCTAGGGTCCTGGGATCCAGCCCTGCATCAGGCTCTCTGCTCGGCGGGGAGCCTGATTCCCCCTATCTCTGCCTACTTGCGATCTCTTTCTGTCAAATAAATAAAATCTCTTTTTAAAAATGGAAAACAGGGACTCCTGGGTGGCTCAGTGGGTTAAAGCCTCTGCCTTCGACTCAGGTCATGATCCTAGAGTCCTGGAATCGAGCCCCGCATAGGGCTCTCTGCTCAGCGGGGAGCCTGCTTCCTCCTCTCTCTCTCTGCCTGCCTCTCTGCCTACTTGTAATCTCTGCCTGTCAAATAAATAAATAAAATCTTTTAAAAAAATAAAAAATAAAAAATAAAAATAAAAATGGAAAACAGAGGAGGGGTATTAGAGACTGGATTTGACTACAGACTAACTGATGGGTACAGTTAACAAGATTAATCAAAGCTTGGAAGGGGCAAATAGTAGTAGAAATAGGACGATTCCTATTTCTTTGGAAAAGACTGCCTGTGTAACTTCTCCCTGGATCCTATGGTTCCTTTCACTCCCCTCCTCCTAACTTAGAGACCTAACTAACTCTCATCACCTCAACTTCAGTCTGGTTCCCAGTAAAACAGCTGCCCTCGGGCTAAAACCAGGTAAAAGACCTCCAACAACTCCTTTCATCCCTTACAAAGGGGTACAGTTCTTACCCCGTGGCTTCCCACCCATAGCATCTCCTCGTGCAAGTCAAAGTGGGAGACGGAGACAGGCACACCCACTTCAGCCACCACACTGTGCAATTCAGAGTAGACACCTTCCATTATGTGCACTGACTCCTGGACGGGAAGAGCCTCCAAGGCCACCCCCTCCGGATCCAGCTCCACATTCTGTAGCAGACTTGGGTTCAGATGGGCATCCAGGACAGGGTCCAGGGCAGAATGCATGGCTGGGGCATACTCTGCCAGTCCAGGGTCCAGACCCTCGAAGTTCATGATGACGATGGCAGATTAGACCCTTGTCACACCCTCCCTTGCAACAGCCCCTTAAGAGGCCTGACCCAACCTTCAGCAGAACAGCACCAGTGGGCCTAGAATGGACATCCTGGCCTGCAAAGGGAAAGAGGCAGCTGAGTCAGTGGCAGGCCCAAGTATTTGTATTTAATGTGTTCTCGATTATCTGGGCAGGAGGGAGATGAGGCAGGCAGAGGTGAGAAGGCCAGGTAGGGGATGAAGCAGGCAGGAAGGGAAAGGGCAGCAGGGGTAGAGGTGCAAGTCTTGTCCCTTCTTCTCCTCTAGGCCCTCTGTACTCCCCACCACCCCCACTATCTAACTTAATACTTGACTTCCTTTCCATCTCCCTTCAGGCCTGCTCCCTTGCCTGGTTCACCCCAGAACCATCAGTGGAAAGAGCAGTAACTGCGGGACAGGAGTTAGGCAGAGGGGCTAAGGTGCTTGTTTCCCAAAATTAGGGATGAGGGGTAGGGGGTTGGTAGGTGAGAACGAAATAAGTCAGTTTCCCAGAATCCTCTGCATGTTACCCAGGATTCTCCAGGGAAAAATAAGAATATACAGTTACCCACAATTGGGGCGGGGGTGGGGGGACATGATGAAAATGCCTAGTTACCCACAATTCTCTAGGGGAACCAGAGAAATCAATTACCCAGAATTCTTCCCAGGCAGCGGGGAGGGGAGGGATTAGGGCAGGGGTCAGATGTGTTCTTGGGATGCTTATGGGGATTGGGTCATTACCAAGATTTCTCCATGGCGGATATTTTGGAGCGCGTGGAATTAAAACGAGTAGGGGGAGAGAAAGCGCCGTCACCTCCGCGGGAAATTCCAGTTTCCCCAATTCTCCCCCGCGCCTGACGGTCAACCAAACCCTAAGGCGGAAAGGACGTCGCTCTCCCAGTCAGAGCTTCCAATCAGGAAGGGCGTGGGGCTCACCTAAGCCAATCAGAAGGATCCAGGTACAGACAGCTCCGCGAGAAGACGCGCGACGTAAGGGCTGGGCAAAGACAAGGTTACGGGCCCCCGGTGGGGACAAACGGTGTCAGACCCTAGCGGTATTTGGTGTCGTGAAACGTAGCCTTTTCTCGTTTAAGCTTTCTTTGAGCAGAACTAGAGAACTCGCTTGGAAATCGACCTTTCATACTCCCTAGAACTTTAGAAACTCTAGAATTAGGAACGCCCAAGGTAAAGTACTGGGAATCGTCTGCTGGGTATTCCCAGCATGGTCCAGTCCACCCCCTCTGTCCGCGGTGCTCTTGTGAGCTACTCCGCCACCTTTCACCCTGTTGCCCCCGAAACTCGCCGGCATTTCCTATCATTTTCAGGCATGGAAGAGAAAAAAGGAAGCGGGAGCCAGGCTCTTAAGACGGCCCAGCTAGCCGTGGCTTTTACGATTCTGTAAGCATCTGTCTGAAACACCCATCTGTGATGATCCCTTCCCCACATGCTCCAATGATAGGCCCAGGGAGCCAAGACCCCTCAGCTATCAAATTTCCCTACCTCTTGAAGCTGGGCATTCTCCCTCAGAGAGGGATGAGCACAGCAAATTGGGACATTTGCTTACCGCAAACTCTTAGATTTAGCACCAACGGTTATTTTCAGGGATTCTTGGGGTCTGATTCTGAGCTTGAACTGCTGTGGAATGGGGCCAGGTTGTGAGATGTCTTCAGGGCGCTTTAGCGCAGTTTCCAAAGGCCGCAGAGAGGGCCTCCCTGATGGAAGGAACTTCTCACCAAGGATAGAATGTTAAAGGACTTCTCTCTCAATAAAGGCTGCTAAATACACTGTAATAAAAGGATTCCAGGGGTGCCTGGGTGGCTCAGTCAGTAAAGCATCTGCCTTTGGCTCAGGTCGTGATCATCCCACCTGGGGCTCCCTGCTCAGCGGGGAGCCTGCTGCTCCCTCTCCCTTTACCCTTCCCCCCACTCATGCTCTTTATCGCTCGCTCCCACTCAATCTCTCTCTCCAATAAATCTTTTTAAAAAGAAAAGGGCTTCGTAATTTAGACTTCCAGGATTCACAGGGGTCCTAGAATCGGTCAGAAGTCAAAGATGGAGAGAAAAACACCTTAATTCAGAGGGTCTCCCAAACTGATCTGGCTTCATAGTTCCCTAGATTTAAAATCTTGGGGAAAGATGGTGCTGAGAGACCTAGACAGTTTGTACACTTTGAGAGATTTCCATATTGAGGTCTCAGATTGAGAAAGACTTCACAGACCTATGGGAATTACAGGACCCGAGATACTCAGAGATTCCTGGGCTAAAAGAGCTACTTTATAAAGATATTTTGTGTCTTCTCAGAGTAGTGTCCAGTGTAATAGAATGAGAATGCAGGATCTGAAACCAGATTGTCTGCACTGGACTTCTGGACACTCAGCTCTGTGATCTTGGGTAAATTACTTATCTGTTTCTTCATCTGTAATACAGGGATAATACTAGTAACTACTTCACTGGGTGGTTGTGAGAATGAAATGGGTTAATACATGAAAAGTGCTTAGACCAAGGACTTGGCATAACGTGAGAGTTGCATATATATTACCCATCATTACTAACTCCCTAGAGGTACCTCAACTGGATTTGGAGTCTGGGCATCCAACTGGAAAGGCCTGCTTAGGAGTGTCTTGTGAATGTGATTTGCATAACGGTTGAGGCCCTGCTGACGTCAAGGGGTCACTACAGCTCCAGGTCAGATCTAGACCTGGAAGTAGCTCCTGCCACAGAACAGTCCCACAACCACCCCACCTACCTTGCTTCCTACCCAACTCTCGAAGCACCAGGAAGTGAAACAAAGCAGCAGAGCCCCGTGCCTCCAACTCACCCTTGTCTCTGTCATCCCAACCCCCAAGAGTCTACTTCCTCTTCCCTCTTTTACCTTTCATCTCCTATCCTTTAGGCCTCCCAGAATGGGGCCACATTTGGGAAGAAGACAGGAGATATTAAACACAAGTGAGGTGAGCTTCCCCTCCTTCCTCCCACCCCCATTTCCTTATTCCATTTGTGTCTACCATGTGTAGAAAGAGCCAAACTGGTTCCCACTCAAACTGAAATAATCTGTCCTGATGCTGGGAACATTCCATCTGAAGGATAGATTTACCACAGAGTCCTAATTTTTGAATCAAAAGTTTCATTGGGCAGTTTTGAATAGTTTTAAGAGAAGGGAGACTTCTATCAAGGGTAACTTTCTCAGAGAAGGGTCAACCTCTTGGGGAGGCTTTCAGGACCATCTGTGTGGTCAGCCATGTCCTCATTCTGACGTCCAAATCGTTCTGGGACCCTCCACTAGGTTGGGGCAGTCCCAGATTTGGACCATTCCCCACTCCCACGCCCAACCTCACATTCTCAGCTATTTCACTGGATGTTGCATCAGGGAGGGTGATGAAATCAATGTCCGCGGATTTTACCCATGGATGCAACAGGCTGAAGGACGGGGCAGGGTCACTAACATGGTACACCTTCAACTCCCCCAGAACTCCTGGACTTCCTAGTTGTGGGATAGGGTCTGGGTGCTAGAAGATCTAAATTTGACTCCTAGCCCTTGCTTACGCCAGTATCCCAAAAGAACCAACACCTGAACCCCACAGGTCCTATGAAACTTTCGGCCACTAAGGCTGAGGAATCAGACGGTTCTTAGCAACAACTCTGTCCCTCTTCAAGAGCCCTCCTAGCCTCCACAGCGAGCCCTGAAGAGGGAGCAGTTATACCTTATATGGCATTATATGGCTTCCCAGTTCATAAAGTCCCCTCGAATCGTGAACTCTCTTCCAGTGAAAATGACTGCTCCCAAGGGAGAAAAAGAAGCCCCCTGGGTCTTAGATAGAGGGCACCAGGTGGGAATCACACTTCATTCCAAACTGAGCTCGCTATTCTACGGGGAAATAAACAAATGCTTCTGTTTTTTATTTTTCCTCAGGCAGGAGGTAAGGAAATAAGGTGCTGGGGTGGGGGGAGGAGGATCTAGCCTTGCGAGGCAAAAAGATGAGGGAAAGGTTAAACAGGAAGGAACTTGAGACTAGATCCATTTAAATATTCATTCCTCCTACCCCCACCCCCTCCACAGCCGCCACGATTCATGGAGAGCATTACACACATGCCCCATCCCAGGCCTCCAGCCACAGCAACCACACGTCTCATTTCCCTTGGAGCTGAGGCTGCATACCTGGGCTCCCCACGGAGGGGGATGATGCAGGGAGGGGAATCCCACCTGCTGTGAGTCACCTGCTGCTATAAAGGGCGGGCCTTACAATGCAGGGACCTTAAAAAGAGACTCAGAGACAAGGGGAGAAAAGCAGCAGGAAGCAGCTCAGAAACTCAGTGAACAACAGAAGGAACCAAAGCAGAGGCGCGCAGAACAGACAGCATCAGGCTCAGAAGAGAGGGAAGTGGGCAAAGATTCCACAAGGACTGGTGCAAGGCACAGAGCCAGCCAGATTTGAGCAGGCGACGGAATGCTGGGGAGCAGGGTTCTGATGCTGCTCTTGCCGCTGCTGCTGCTACCACTGCCCTGGCTGGCTGAGACCCGGGCCATGCCTGAGGGCGGTCGCCCTGCCTGGGTCCGGGGCCAGCAGCTCTCACAGCAGCTCTGCACGCTGGCCTGGAGCACACATCCTCATGTGGTAAGTCACGGGCTCTGGTGCCAAACAGGAGACTCTCCAAGCTCTCCAAGGCTGCAGTGGAAGACTCTGTGGCTTTGGATGGAAGCTGGAGGGTCGAGGGTCATCACAGAGTAAGAGAGGAAGGGAGGTGGGGCGAGGAGTGGTGTTCCTGGGAAAGGTGTGGGCCTGAGGGTCCCAGTGGAGTTTGAAAGTACTTCTCTTATCTCTTCACTCTTCCCACGCCTCCTCCGTTCCAGGACTTACCAAGAGAAGAGGAAGATGATGAGACTACACAGGAGGTCCCCCGCATCCAGTGTGAGGATGGCTGTGATCCCCAAGGACTCGAAGACAACAGTCAGGTAGTAAGAGGAGGCTGGACCACAAGGAAGAGGGACTGGGACATCACTGGGTATCATGGTGAACTAGCAAAAGTTCTGTCCTTGTCCATTCAGCTTGCTATATAACAAATACCATAGACCGGGTGGCTTAGAAACATCAAAAATAATTTAGTTCTCACTGTTCTGGAGGCTGGAAGTCGGAGATCAGGGTGCTGGCACGGTCAGGTGAGGGCCCTCTTCCAGACTCCAGACCTCTCATTGTATCTGGCAAAAGGGCCTTGGGAGTTCCGTGGGTCTCTTAGAAGAATACCAGATGCGTTCAAGAGGGCTCCACTCTCATGACTTCAACACTTCTTGAAAGCCCTCCCTCCTAATACCATCATATTGGGGAGTTAGAATTCGACATATGAATTTTGTGGGGACACATTTAGCCCATAGCAGTGTCTAAGAATGGCAAAAACTGGGTGGGTCTTTGGAGAATGGAGTAGGAGGAAGGGATCTGTTTTTTCACTGCTTTCTTCCCCCCACCCCAGTTCTGCTTACAAAGGATCCACCAGGGCCTGGTTTTTTATGAGAAGCTGCTGGGCTCAGACATTTTCACAGGGGAGCCTTCTCCACTCCCCGACGGCCCCATGGGCCAGCTTCACGCCTCCCTCCTGGGCCTGAGGCAACTCTTGCAGGTATGAACCAGGGGCCTGGAGAATGGGGGCTTGCAGGTACCACAGATGAGGACTGGAGGGTGAAGGATCTCAAGTTCTCTCTGATTGTGTCCTGTGTCCTTTCAGCCTGAGGGTCACCACTGGGAGACTGAGCAAACTCCAAGCCCCAGTCCCAGCCAGCCATGGCAGCGCCTCCTTCTCCGCTTCAAGATCCTTCGCAGCCTCCAGGCCTTTGTGGCTGTAGCTGCCCGGGTCTTTGCCCATGGAGCAGCAACCCTGAGCCCCTAAGGCCAACGGCTTAAGGATGGCACCCAGATCTCCATGGCTCAGGAGGGCTGAAATCAATCAGCTCAGGCACCTGGGAGCCGACAAGTTAATTAGTCCATTAATTCTAATGAGACTTGCGTATGTTGAAAATTACCAATACTAACTTATGCTGCTGATCTAGGACCAAGTTGAGTATTTATTAAAAAGGAAGGGAAAACTTGAGATTATTTATCCTCAGGGCAGCAGTTTGGGGAGGATTATTTATTATATTTATTCTGAATTATGTACTTTTTTCAATAAAGACTTATTTATGTGGATATCTGTGTGTGATTTCTAGGCCTGGTTGGGAAAAGGAAAAACAGGGCCAAAGGACTATAGTATGCATCCTTCTGTTCTGCAGGGCTCCAGCGGAGGGGCTATATCCTCATGATCTTCTGGTGTACGCATAAAGTAATAAGGATCTTTTTGGTCTGGATCCCTGTATAGCTGAGCAAGCTGAATGGGATTACCAAGGATTAAGACTAGGAAATTGGACCCGTAAATGGGACTGCTTTTGCTGCCTGACCCTGTGCCTCCTTACTTTCTTGGCCAAGAGTGTATTTGGCCAAACACAGGAATCCCAATTACTGCAGGATCAAAAGTCAGAGCTTTTTGGGCAGGAAGGGCATTCCAGAAAGATGGTGGTAAATCCCCCAAATTAATGGGATTCTCCCTGAGTGGTCATCTGTGAGCCCCATCAGAGGGTTTGACTACCCAAGGGGAGGTCAGCTACCTTTGGAAACAAAGAGAAGGGGAAGGCTACTGTGGTCATTCCCCATCCTTTTCTCCATAGTCACAAGATTAAAAACACATGGGCTTTGGAGTCAAACAGACCCCAGCTTGTATCTTGGCTTTGTCACCAACTAGCTGAGTGACAATGGGCTATAGAACTGCTCACCATACACCCCAACACACAGATGGCTCCCAGCCCCCCTGGAAGAATCTAAGGGACAGAAAAACCTGTTCTAAATAGGGGGGTAAGGAATGCCTGAGTGGCTCAGTCATCAAGAGTCTGCCTTCAGCTCAGGTCATGATCCCAGGGTCCTGGGATTGAGCCCCGCATCAGGCTCCCTGCTCAGTGGGAAACCTGCTTCTCCTTCTCCCCATCCTCCTGCTTGTGTTCCCTCTCTCGTTGTGTCTCTGTCAAATAAATAAAATCTTTGAAAAATAATACATAAACAGAGGGATAATTAGAAAAACATCACAAGAGGGTGCCTACTCTGGAAGGGTGGCTGGGTGACAAGTTGTGATTTGCTGACCTCGATTCTACATGGCCTGCCGGTGTCTCCAAGGACATCAGTCTTTGTGAGCAGAGAAGTAAAGAAGTTCAGAGAGGAAACACTTCTAGGTCAGCACAAAGTTTATTAGCCACTTCTGCTCAGAAGGGCCTCTTTTGGAAGAGGATGATTCCTCTAACATACCAGCCAGAAAACAGCCATACGTACAGGGCCTCACTTTCATTCCATCTCAAGTTATACTAGAAAAAAATAGCAATTATCCTGGGATTCCCTGGGAATGACTAACGTGTGAGATTGTCTGGAAGCCAATGATAAACATTCAAGGTTCTAAGTTCAGGGAACATGGTTTTTGCCCAGGTCCACACCCAAGGAATAGAAACTCTCCTTTCAGATAAGCAATATATTGTACAAAAGAACGAATGGTTATCTTAATAGAGAAATATCTAAGACCCAGGGCTTTTCTTCCTCTGTAAAAATACCAAATTCTATCTAATACTATAAAAAGTGATCCCTAAATTCCCAGCCACCCTACCATCCCTGGCCTCCAAGAGTGATTTGTCTCCTAAGCATTGAGGAAGTGGATACTAGACAGAGTAAATTATTGTGCAAAGCTTCACAGAATATTAGATTGGCAGGATCATTTTAGGGGAAGGAATGGGTGTGGCCAGCTTGGGGGGCAGGGGAAGACACTGGTACACAGGGGATGTTTATCTCCTATTCCCTTCTGCTGAGGGGAGCTTCGCGTGGTGGGCTGAAGCAGGAAGCTCTCAGTCTCGGCAGAAAACAAAGGAATTTGGGCCTTGAATCAGGAGTGAGGGGGAGAAAGAAGGAAAAGGTTATTCTAGACATGAAAGAACCAGAAGACAGAAACGGAATCTATCACACGTCTCTGTTCCCTATGGATGGCCAATGCTAGTGGGCACCACCACGTTAGCCTTACCAACTATTCAAATGTTGACATCCTCCTTTACTGGAAAGAAGCCACTCCAAGCCCCCTCAACACCGCCTAACTGTGCTGGCCTACCCTCAGAACTCCTGTACCTCCCCAAACAGCAGCTGGCCTCAATGATCCTAGTTAGAGCCATGGCTAACATCTCTTCTGGTTCCTTGGTGCCCCTTCCTTACCCATAGTCTGCTTTTACTTCCCATGCCCAATGCTAGAGTTAACCAGCTTGGAACAGGTTTTCCATCCTTGGAGAGCAACACTGTGATGTGGGGGGTAGAAGGGACAAAAGATACAGGAAGAACAGAGGAAATGTTGTTCCTAGTAGTCAGAAGGGATCAAGGGCCCATCCGTGTGGAAATGGCTGGGGTGGAAGACGTAAGCCTCGTCCACGGTGTTCTGTCCAGCAAACAGAGGGTCACCATTTGTCATGATTTCTTCAATCTTCATAGTGTTTCTGAAGACTAAGGTAGTCCAAAGAAAGAAATCAGGCCCTGATCTTAGGTAAGGAGTTCCCAACCCAGCAGGGAAAATGAGGGAGGATGGCAGCAGAGGTCTGAGCAAGGCCCGAGGAGGCACTTAGGTCAGGGAAGGAGGGGGCATGTACATTTCCTAATAAAAGGAATCAAAGAAATGAGCCTCCCTCCAAAGAGGAGCTTAGAGCTCAGCTTTTTCTATAATGGGTAAGGGAGGGCAGTCGGTAAACAGAATGTGTCCCCTCTTCCCGAGCTCTATCTCATCACTTACTTTCCATTTCGTCAGTGTTCAAGTGTCTCAGGTCATGGGGCAAATCTGGCTCTGGCACTGCCTGGGATACAGGGTCTAGAAGAGGCTCCAGCTTCAGCTCTGGTCCCATGTTTGGCTCTGGCATTCTTGGTACCACATCTAGTGTGGGCTCTGGCAGGGGCTCGAGGGCTGGCCCCAGGTCCAGGCCTGCCTCTAGCAGTGGCCCTAACTCCAGGCCTGTCTCTTGCCCTAGCAATGGCGCCAGGCCCGACTCCAGCTCAGATGACTCCGCCTCTGGCTCCAGCTTAAGGTCTGGCAGTTGCTGCAACTCATCAACCTGTCTGGATACCGCAACACAGACAAAGGTGCAGAGCTGGTTGTTTAGGGGAAGTGGGGAATGGCAGAGCAAGCAGAGACTCTCTCTCTAGGCTAAGGCAACAGAGCAGGGAGGGAGGTGGGCAGCGCCTGGGTGGCTCAGTCAGTTAAGCATCTGACTCTTGATTTCAGCTCAGGTCATGATCTCAGAATTGTGAGATCAAGCCCCAGGTCAGGCTCCATGCTCAGTGCAGCAGAATCTGCTTGAGATTCTCTCTCAGCCTCTCCCTCTACCACCCGACCCCACCCCACTGCTCACCCTCTTTCTCTCTCTCAAATAAATAAATACAATCTTTTTTTTTAAAGATTGTATTTATTTATATGACAGATGGAGATCACAAATAGGCAGAGAAGTAGGCAGAGAGAGGGGAAGAAGCAGGGTCCCTGCTGAGCAGAGAGCCCGACACGGGGCTCAATCCCAGGATGCTGGGATCATGACCTGAGCCGAAGGCAGAGGCTTTAACCCAATGAGCCACCCAGGCGCCCCATAAATAAATACAATCTTAAAAAATAAAAATGAAGAAGAAGGAGGCAACAGAGCAGAGGGCTTAAGAGCACAGGCTTTGGAATCAGGCTTGCCAGAGTTTGGGCCCTATCATTTATTGGATGGATGATCTTTAGCTTTCTAAGCCTCAGATTTATTGTCAATAAAATGGGACTACCACCACCTAACAGAATATGAGAGGCACTAGGATGGTTAAACGCAGGACTTTGGAGATTCTCCTGTCGGCTTTGAAGACGTAAGCCGCCAGGAGTCCTACAGCTCCGAGAAAATTAATTCAGCCAACAATCACTTGAGCTTTGGAGAGAACCACAAGCCTCAGATGAGACCGAAGTCCTAACTGAAACTCTGGACTGCAGCCTTGTGAGGCCCTGGGCAAAGAACTCAGCTAAGCCATGACCAGACTCTTGATCCATGGAAAATGTGAGATAATAAATGGGTGTTGTTGGGGTGCCTAGGTGGCTCAGTGGGTTAAGCCTCTGTCTTTGGCCCAGGTCATGATCTCAGGGTCCTGGGATGGAGCCCTGCATCAGGCTCTCTGCAGGGAGCCTGCTTTCCCCTCTCCCTCTGCCTGCCTCTCTGCCTACTTGTGATCTCTCTGTCAAATAAATAAATGAAATCTTTAAAGAAAAATAAATAAATGGGTGCTGTTTTAAGATTTAAAAAAAAAAAAAAAAAGCAGGACTTTGGAATCTGGCAGACCTGGATCATTTATTAGCTAGGTACCAGAATATTGCCACAGTAAACCTCACATTCTTCGGCTACAGAGGTTCATACCCATAGCTACCTCATGGGCTTAGTACGGAGATTCAATAAATCAGAAACTAAACACAGACATTTAGTCCCATATCTGCCATATGATAAATTTTCCTTAAATGTGGCTGTTATCACCTACTTGGGTGGATTCTCAAAAGGATTCAATACAATGAAAAAAAAAAAAAACCAACCCTGTTGTTAAAAAAGTACTTAGTACCATGCTTCAAGTAGCTGCCTAGGAATATCAGTGGTGATGGCGGGTATTAGCAGAGAAGGCCTGTAGAAACAACCTAAGGACGGCAGCAGAACACTAGAGAGGAAAGAGGATGGCAGAACCAGAAAAAAACCCTAGAGGCTCAAGAGTATGGGTTAGTAGGAGAGAAAATCAGCAAGGTGAACTGGGCAGATCTGGGTCACTCCATCAGCCAACAAGGGTTAGGGAGGATGAGTAGAGAAACGCATCTCTCACCTGTTAGAGACCACGATGAGCTTATGTTTCAGGTATTTCCTCCTTTCTTCAAGATTAACTGTGGGGCACATATGCAGGAGGACAGGGACGTCAGGGGGCTGGATGCACAGCCCAAGGACCCCTCACGCAAATGGTCCTGATAACCATGTTCCCCACTAACAAGCGGCATCCTGGGCACAAAGCCTTTCACTTCTCTGGCTATCAATTTTTCCACGTCTGGAGGAAAGGTGTTGGGTTTGTAGATGCCTGAGAACCCCTGCCATCATCCA